AGGTGTATTTGTAGTGTGTGTGTGTGTGTGTGTGTGTGTGTGTGTGTGTGTGTGTGTGTGTGTGTGTGTGTGTGTGTGTGTGTGTGTGTGCACGTGCGCGTGCGCGCCATGGCCCTGAAAGAAAGTAGGAGATTATCCTATTCTGTGTGTCCAGTCACCAGTGCAGTATTGACCATGGTGGACCACCCAGGGAGCGTCCAGCCAGCCGTGAGATGGCCTGATATACATGCTTACTGGCCATGCTAGATTCCCCCACTAACACCAGGGAGAAGGCCAAACTCTACAGGCTGTCCACAGACACTGGAGTCTGTGCACGGAGTGACCCACCCTCCACACACTGCGACACACACAAGCACACACACATCTGAGCCTAGCCTCTGTACAGTGAAAGGCATTGCCATCAGGTCGTTTTCTGTGTCCTGTGAGGCGAGGCGGAGGTCATTGGGAAGGTGGAAAACCTCTTTAATGGTGGGAATGATACCATAACACCTATAGATAGAGTTACGGATCATGTCACATACACTCTGTATACAGTGTTTGACAGCGAGGCCTGCTCCCTCCTGATGTAAAATGTGGAGACCAGTGTGAAACATTTGTGTTAAAAGATAGAATTACTTGTTAGTCTTTTTAAAGACTTTACACATCTATATTTATTCTTGAGTTATGTTATGTTTGATATATCCGTATAACATTATTTTGTTAAGAAAAATGTAATCCATTTATTTACTGTACTTGTGCAAATTTGATATAGAAAAAGAGTAAATAAAATACATTATTATTTAAGATGTTATTGTAGAAGGGTAATCTTGTTTTCCAGAGTGTCTTACACTTAATAACACCATTTAATAAAACAACATTTAAGTGGAAGGAGAAACTGAAAGTGAAATGAAACATTCAGACAAACTAAAACAGACTACATCAAAAATGTATATGTTTAAATAAACCATTAAAAGGCCACACATTAGGAAAGATGTTTGTTTATGTCACGGGCAATGTACAATTAATCTTAAGGAGAGTTAACAAACATACAAATACGTAATCAACACAGCTTCTCAGGGTTTATTACTACACTGGTTTGCAACAGCCCCCTGGTTTGTAAAAGCTGACCTTAACAAACCCTCAGGGGTCATCTAATTGTGTTTTAATTACTCAGATGTTTGTTTGTGGACGGGAGTCTCTAACATGGCCCGTTAACAACACAAAGGCCTTACACAGCAGGACAATGCTGCACAAAGCTCGCCTGCAGTGGAAACAACTAAGGGCATGAAAAGGGAGGGTGTGTGTCTTTTTACTGCATGGAAACTGCAATTAAGGAGAGATGAAGATAATGTAGTTTTATTTATATTGAATTGTTTTGTTTTTTTTGCTTTACAATGACAAGCTAAAGTGTTGGAATAAAACCACAGGCTCTCATTTAAAATGAATAATCTTTTTTAATTGTATTATATCAAAGTTAGATCATTTATATTATTTTATTCCTGTGATGTAAAGAATAAAATATATTCTTTTAATATCGGCCTTTTTTGAGCATCCACACCCATCTATTCCTATTGGTTAAATGTGCATATATCACACAAACCGCACAGGAACCAGAGGGAGATTATATTCATTAAAAGAAGAAACAAATCAACCAAGCACACATAATTATTTCACGATAATCAAAATGTGGTCATTAGTTTTGATGAATAAAAACCAATGTGTTTAAATTGCCCTTTTGTCATATTAGTCAAAATAACTATGACTAGATTTTTAGAAATGATGCAATTATATGTTTTACAATTTAGACTGTAATGTACTCCAAAATAAAGTACATTTCTATTTCCCAAGTGTGCTAATTAAATAGCATCTTAACTGTCCATCATAACACAGAAAGAGCCGACTATGAGGAGTGTATTCGGCCCTCAGGATTAAAATGATTTTTATAATGGCATCATCTATGCACAAACACAACAAATATACAATTCTGATTAACAAGAGTACATTAAATCCACTATCATATAAAGCACCCATTGACACAACATGGCCCAGTGATAATTATATATCTATAGACATATAAATTGTTCATTTATATACTCACCATAAGTTCATTAACACGATAAGCTTAAATCACTATTATATTCAAGCAAAATGAGTGGAGCAAGAGCACTTTCATAAAAAAATAGAACAATGAGTGCCTGCCCCCAATGAACACTTATAAAAGGGTGCATGATGATAAAGCAGAGTGCAAACATCTGTGTTTTTACATCGCTCAAGGTATTTCATGTAAAATAATGTTTTCCTTCTAATGCATCAGTATCCAAGGAATTCAAGTTAGAGTTCAGCTGTGGCCCATCCCAGCATGCACACATGCAAAATTAAATTCTTATGTAAGCGTTCTAATTTCAGACCCCAATGACTGTTCTCACAATCACGTGTTATGAGAGGCTAACTTTAGAGACACGTTGATGTGATGTGTGATGTGATGTTCAAGAGTAGCAAACCAACGATTTAAGAAAAACAGACGGCGGACGCTCCACAGTTTCAGATTGTGAGTTCTCATTGTGATGTATTTGAAATGTAAAGCTAATAAAAATCTAATATTAGTGCTGTATTTTATTCAGAACTTTCTCTCATTTTCAAAAGCTTGCTGTATCTGCGTCTGTCTCTCTTTGTGTGTGTGTGTGTGTGTGTGTGTGTGTGTGTGTGTGTGTGTGTGTGTGTGTGTGTGTGTGTGTGTGTGTGTGTGTGTGTGTGTGTGTGTGTGTGTGCAGGGTTTGTCTCCCTGTTTCCCTGAACTTGGTAACCCCACAGAGACCTCCTAAAATATGTTGGCTCAGTCCAGGGTGCACACAGGGTAGCAAGGTTGGGGGGGGGGTTATGTTGGAGTCAGGACATGGAGGGGAGGGGGCTGCTTTT